CTCTTAGAATAATTCTTGAGAAAATGTCTGGAAAAAAAATTAACTCTCAGAGATTTGGAAAATTCCTTTCCGAGAAATCGTGTGGATCCGGACAAATAGAGAAGAAAACAAAAGTCTTTTAGACTCGAAGACAGATATAAATTTCAGATAACACTTCGATGATTTACTTTATATGATTCTACGTTTTTCCAACTTGACTTTTCGAGCCAACAAGCACATGCAATGATTATCCGTTGGAATCTGTCGCTGTTCTACTTTACTCTGGGGGAGGAGGGAGAAGGGAGGAATATCGTATGGACTCCTGGAACGGCTGGCTGCCTCGATAAATCTTTGTCGCCCTGGAACGACAGCAATCCGACTATGTGCCTTCCACTTCATTTCCCACTCAATCATGCCCTTGAATATCGCAGGCGCTATTGGGACGACTAGGTATAAATGTCTTCCTGTCAAGACGTAACGGCGTTCCGGCCTTTCTGCTTTCCTCGTCGGCGGCGTTTGAACGATCGCGAAACCACGTACGGGACGAAGCCATTAGCCCCGTTTGGGCCGCGAATAGAGTCCTTACCTGCCCGCGAAGTCCGAGTCGTTCGTTCCTTGCGGGAGCGAGGATCAACAGGTTCGCGTGTGCCGGATGTGCCGGCATACGGCGGAAGTCCACTCGTCGGCCGACGTGAAATCGTTCCGCGTGATACCGATCGGTTCCGACCTTTCACCCCGACGAAAGACCCCGCGTGAGATCCTCGCACGAGCGCGCGTGGCGATCCGCCACTCCTTTCACCCGCTATTTTAGAATCGTTATCGCGATCCAAGATAACGGCGCGATTCACGCGAATGCGAATCCTTAAAGCTTCCTTCCTTTATAGATCCTCGAAGCCTCGCGCGTCCCAAAACGCGCGACTGTATTTACCGTTCTCGGAGCGCGCATCTGCTCTCCCTGTACGGCGAATCGTATTTCGATCTTTAAAAGGCAACATCTCGAAAGAGAGTCCGTTATTGTACGAATGAAAATAAAGAGAGAACTATGGAAAAAAAACTGTCGCGGGGTGGGACATTCCTACCTGCGTGACCGTAAACGTGTCATAAAAAAAATAGGGAGGTAGGTGAGGTACCAGGAATCGACGGGGCGTCGACAAATCACGGATGGCTTTACGATCACTGAGGGATTGTCGAGGTGGAAGGAGATATAAAAACGTTTACACGACGCGTAAAAGTGTAGGCCATCTATTCTCACTTTTGTCAGGTCGTACTCTACACATACATACTTCGCTTCTCGTCGGCGGTCTCACAGTATTTTTCCGAGGCCGTCTACGCGTGAGGAGAATACACAGCTAGTTAGACAAACGAATTGAGAGGGTTGGGGAAGGAGAGGAGGGGCAGGAGGGGAAAAAATCGACGAGGGGAGGGTAAGTACAAAAATTGTGTAAAGTCCACTCAGCCAGAAGTGATGGGTCAAATCGGCGTGGAAACAATGTCAATGGGTCGATGTTAATACTTTCGCCACCTTTGACCCTCGTCATAATTGTTTCTATGTTGATTCAGCAATTGCAAATGTTTCTATAGATTAATTTTTTGTCGTGCGGCCAATTCTATATAGAAAATGACCAAAAAGTCGTAAAGCATAGTGTACACGCATATATCTACTGTGTATTCGATATAGAATGACCGAAAGATAATAGGAGTCTATACAAATATTTGCAGTTAGTCAACATAGAGACGATTGTGAGACTGACAAAAATAACAAAAATGTCAGACAGTAATAAGTTAAAATAAACGGCGAATAACACAATTAAATGGAGAAGCGCCAAATATGGTGGAGGCGATTGGATCTTGGTATACTAATAATACTTTTATGTAACTCATTGTCAGACAGTATTCGACAACGACTATTCATCGGACATCGAATCGACGTCGATTCGATTAAATGTCATCTCTGGCTGGACTCAGACACGTCCACTCTCTCGAGGGGGGAAAAAATCTTATTCGAAACCTAAACAATAAATCGTCGGGATGCTCGACCATGGATTTTTGTGTTTTCGCTCTTTCTCCTTGACCTTCCTTTCGGCCGCGCGATGAGTGTCCGCCGCGAAAGCACCGGTAGAAAAGATGTATCAACGTGAAAAAAAAATCGAGCGGCCGAGTCGTGTGACGGTTGGGGTTGGAACTCTGGCTCTCGATTAGTTGATCAGCACGCGGGTTTCGATTCCGACGTAATCGACGCAAAAAAAACCCCGGGCAAGCCCACTTTTTCTCGCGATACGTGAACGAGTCGTCCATTATTTAGCGCTCGCTTTACTAATGGAGTATCGATTGACAGTGTCCGCCTCCCGGACGAGCGACCGAGTAAAAAACTTGATTCGCTTCTTTCGGATTTTCGACATCCGGTCGCCGAAATCACTCACAATCAGCTTCAGAAGAAATCAAATAATACATAATTTTAGTACTTTCTGACGTGATTATTCAATAATTGAATATTAATGCTATTAATCGTTTGGATAATATGATCATGATACTTTTGTTGTATATATTAAGTATTATATTAAATATTTATAAATTTTAGACAATTCTTCGAACGTTCAGTCATTAATTCATTAAAAGTATATTTAAATAAATTTATATTCAAATATATTTTAAAATATATTCAAAAAAATTAAAGAACATTGATTGAGAATCTCTACTTCAAATTTATTTTTTAAATAATTAATTCTTTTTATTTATATATATTTAAGAAAGCAAGTTATCCTTAACATAATATTTACAAGAGAAAGTAATTTCGACGTTAATTTTGTATGTTACAATTATAAGAATCACGTTAACGCTTTTCTGCGCTAAATTCTAAAGTCAAAGAAAAAGTAATTTATAATATAATTATATTCCTTCACTGAAGTGAGGTATTAGAGTATATCATTTTGTGATGTATTTAGATTTCTCTATAGAAGTGGAAACAAGAAAGACTTGTCTGATTATTACGGCTGGATATTATGGCTCTACCAAATTCGGCTTCACGCGATTTCCGCCTTGACTCGGTGAACGTCCAGTCCAAACGAAATATCCCGTGATATCTTCCGCACGTTTTCCTGACTTTTTCATAATAACAAAAATATATAGATCCAATTATCGGCAGTCCATTTCTATCTCGCCGCCAATTGGCGGCCCTCAGAGAAAAAAAACATAGTGGCGGCAATTGTGTAGATGACAGCTATACAAGTTTTATATTATAGGTAACAACCCTGGGCGTACTCAGGATTTCCGTCAGAGAGGAGGGAAGGAGGCAAAAATTTCTTTTCACAAAGCTTATTAAAATACTTATATTAAAGCCAGCCTTCTTCAGTGAACTTTTTTAATATTTCTTCTTCAGACTTCTTTCTTTTTATAAGAATTGTTTCTGATTGTCAAAATTTAGAAAAGGAAGAGGAGAGCAAGCACCCCCCCGTCCCTCTTGCGTACGCTGGTAACAGTTATACAAGTTTTATATGTGGAATTAATGTTGAATAGTTGAATAAACATAGTTGAATAAACTATTTTACATTTATTGCAACGATGAAATAGTTCGTTCAACCGTGCCAACATTAATTCTACCTACAAAACTTGTGTATAGTTGTTATCTATATAGTTGCCGCCACTATATTTTTCTCCGAGTGCGATAAAATCAGAACATCTCGTGAACCCTCTTGGAAAATTTCCCCCGAATCAATTTTCTGACGCACACAGCGAAAAAAAGTGGGCCTATCCCATTACAGTTACGAATCGAAATTCGTTCTCTACTTCGTCGCGGCGAGTCGAGAGAAGAAAAAAAAAGAAATGGGAGAGAGATTCCTTTATCACAGAACTTTTTCCTTGCCTACGCAACAGTTTCGTCGGACGAATTCGCGAGTTTCTTTTTGCAGGACAAATATATCGACGAGGCAGTTCTAATCTCGGATGTTAGTACAACGAGAGGGAACGGCGACAATAATTGACAGGTTTCCGGCGGGGCATATTTTCCCCCCCTCGCGCGAGGGGGCTCCCCTCCCCGCTTGGTCGAGTCTACCGCGCTACGCAATTACAATTATTTACAAAAAAATCACAATCGACCCTTACGGTTCGAGTCGCTTGTTCCGCTATTTCTCTATAATCTCGTTAATGTTCCGCGAAACACGTCCTATAGATAGCATAGGGTTCAAAATTTTGGGACATAAAACACCGTCAAGACGTCACTAATTGTATAAGACGTCTTTTCGATATTAAGTATATCATAAGACGTTTTACGTCCCAAATTTTGGACATCGTGCCGTCCGAGGTGTATCGTTTATTGTACATACACGCACACGCGAGGGGTGTCGTCGTAGACGCGATCGTAATTTTAGCGCGTTTGGCCGCTCGAGGCGGCTGCCTCGCAACGGAGAAATCCCCGTTGCGTTATTTCGACACGTTACGCTTATCATTTCGTAACGTCGTCGTGCGTAATCGTTATCGGACGAATATCAGTCGCGAGTCAGAGAGCACGTATCTCAAAAATACGGCTTTCCTCGTGATGAGCAAGAGAAAGTTCAATAAAAATCTTAATTTCGTCCTCGATTAGTATACAATTATTTCCTTTACAGTGTCACATCGCGCGTGTACATCAGGCAGATATAAACGCTCGACCGGTCGTATTTAGCGTCAAGCGTGACCGTCGTGTTTCTCACGAGAAACACGAGGAAGAGAGCGACGTTCTCCAATTATAATCGTGATCTCCACACGTCTTTGATCTTTTTACAGAAACGAATTAGGCAAATGCGGAGCAGTCGCGCGCGTTTAACATTGTAGATGCTCCAATCGACAGGAATACGGGCACCTCCTGTTTACGTCACGGCGGCGTCGATAAGAACCTCGCGTGTGTGACTCACGCTATACGCCTAGAATAATGCTAGAACAGCTCGCTCGGTTGCGCAACTATGTCGAGCTCTCTGTCTTTTGAATACTGTACGAGTCGTGTGTGTATGTGTGTGTGTGTGTATATATATATATGTACGTGCGTGCATACGTACGTACGTGCGTGCATGAGTGCGTTCGTGCGTGCGTTCGTGCATGTGTGCGTTACGTGTGCGTGGCTGTACGCACTTCCGGTCGTACGAGTGATCGCGCTTAATCATACCTCGGCTCGTCGCTTCGGATCGTTTGCGTCGTCACGTCGAAGAGGCGAAGCGGCCGGGTGTTGTCATGGTTAAGTTTTAATAAACAAATTAATTAACGCGAGTGCGGCGAGATTCGCCCCTCTTTTCAAGCTTTCGATTCGCGACAGAGAGAGCGAACGAGGATGCGCGATCGCGGCAATTGTGATTCCTGATATCGTGTGTGATCGTCGCTCCTTCACGAATATGAAGAAGCTTAGCTGTTAAATAAGTAGTCGTCGTTTTTTTTTTTAAATTACAATAGAATATCTTAACGGCGAACCGGATATTAAGCTGCAATACTCTGATATGTATTGCTGTGATATTGTGATTAAATTAGCACTGTTAATATCACTGACCAGCGACGATACGTTAATGCTAAGTAGCAACATTAACATTACCAATTGCTATTGATAGCATCGATTAAGACACTGACATCAATATACCAAAAGTATACGTAATACCAAAAGTGTTAATTAATTTTGCGCGATACTGCAGCTTAATATCTAACTCCGGCGGTCGCTGACGTACGCTGACAACGTATCGTATTTGTCTCCTATTCGCAATTATGTGTACCGATCGTACTCCACTCTTTGCTCTCTTTCACCGAGAATCCATCGGCACTCTTAACTTCGCGTCCAAAGTTCGTGTAACTGTCCCGCACACGTCATCGGGAGACACTTTTCACGGAGATCCTCTTGTTCCTCGGGCGCTCGGCGGCGATCTCGGGACTACCTCTTGTGATTGTGACCGTTGCCCTTGCTCCTGGGACTGTCCGAGGTCACGTCGTTGGGCTCCCTCCTCTGTCGCAGGATGAAGTTGAGATTGTGCGCGGTATTTACAGCGTAGTACACGTTGGCCGAGTTGGGCAGCACCATCTCCCGGTCGGGTAGCACCTGGGCCAGGGTGTACTGATCGGGGCTGCCCTCGAGGCCGAGCTTCAACATGGCGTTCCGGATGACCTGCGGCGTTCGCTCGTTGTTCGACAGCATTATCGACTTGTACAACACCACGCCCTCCGTCTCGACGTTGTCCGTCTCCATGGTGACCTTGATGATGTAGAAGTCCGGCGAGCTCTTGTGCGAGTGGCTCGGGCTGGACAGTCCGGCGAGATTCGGGGTGCTGCCGTTGGCCGCCACGGCGCCCGCCGGGGGTGCCAGCCGGGTCTGATGGCTGCCACCCCCGCCGGAGCTCAGCGACACGTCCAGGGACGGCAGGGACGAGCTCGAGGACGAGCTGGACATTTGCGACGGCGACGTACGCCGGTCCAGAGAGTTGTGCGGCGAGCTCGGCAGGGAGTCGAGGTCGCAGTAGAATTGCGAGCTACTTGAACTGGACGTCGAGGCGATCGAGTCGTTCTTACGGTGACCTTGATGAGCCTGCGAGACAAGTCCCAAGATTCAGTTCTCGTCTAGATTTTGCCCGTTGGCAATCGAAGATTTTCGTAATAAAATATGTGGGTCATTTTAAGAATATTTGAAATAATACATGATTTTCATCCAATATTATTCGCCTAACTTGTTTTGCATAAATTTTGATAAATTTCAGCAATCAGATTAGATAGTTTTGAGAAACTTCCTGATGTTCGTGTATATTACGGAGGAATTAGATTAGAACATATATACATCTTAATAGGTAATACTGACCTGCTTCTTCTTGCCGCGGTTATTCAGAGTGTTCCCTGGCGGTGGTTCGATCTGGCAGCTGAGCTTGTACGCTTCCCGATCGTCCAGCACCACGACCGAGTGGAACCAGCGATCGAACACGGGGTCCATGCTGAAGTTGTACGCGTTCGCCGCGCCCTGTAACAGTCTTATCCTCGCGAGCACCTCGAACTCCTTCCGTCTCTTGTCGAAGTTTATGAGACCGTCGGCTATCGTGTCCGGTATCGCCGTGTCGATCATGGTGAGGTCAGTCAGGAAAGTCCCTAGGTACGGTATCGTGCCGTAGCTAATGTTCTGCAAGTTATCAGAAAAATTCACGATTACTGCAAGTTTAAGAGAAAAAGAGAATATTACAGAGAATGCAATATATTCGTACTTGCTCGTATAAATACTGATATAGTCTAATTTGTATTTAAAACACACTATTCGCAAATCGATTCTAAGTAATACATTTTAAGCTCGTCGTTCAGTATAAATTTATAATTAATTTTAAAATTTTATTCTAAAATTATAGTTATAAATTTTATATATTAAATCATAATAAATTATATAGTTATAATTATAAATTTAAATCTTTCAAAAATAAATTTTAATTTTATTGTATTACATATACTTAAATATTATATATATCATAAAATCATAATGAAAATTCTAGTCTTGTTAAAATATTAAAGCAGTGTTCCAAATAATTCAGGTATACTGATGCGACAAACTTTTAAAATTTCTTAAAACCAAATGTCAGATGTTATTAATATTTCATGCAACCTAGACAAGAGTTAACTTTTATTTTTATACAAATTTTCTTTACACAAATCGTTGCTATTATTATGATGATATGCCACTATTATGATTTTTTTTGCGCCGTAACATGATTTTAAAAGTCTATACGATCGTCTATTTGCCTCAAAAAAAAAAACGTCGAGAAAAAAAATTCGCTTCTCACAAAGAAGAGCGACGTTATCGCACTTACGCCCGCATGAGTATTCTGTTTCTGAAAGAGCTTCTGCAGATGCCGGTCGCTCCTGCCAGCAGTGTCGGCGAACTTGGCGGTGCCCTCCTTGATGAGTAACTCCCTCTGCGTCCAGGCATTGTTCTCCTCCGAGAATATCCTCTCGAGCTCGCGGAAAAGCTCGTGCTTCTCCCGGGGCATGCACTGCCAGCATTTCTCCAGCCGGTACACCGGATTGCTCTGCAGACCGGAAACAATCGCTTTCAGGCTGCTGAAGTTCTTGAGCACCCGCAACTCCTGCGCGACGTCGATCCACGTCTCGAGGATCCTGGCGCGTTCCTGCGATTTGAGCGTCGTGTCCGTCAGGATTGTCGAGATCACGCGCAGGGAGACGGCGTTGAACTGATTCACGGTCGCCACCACTGTCGCGGCCTCATGGCTCCTGGAACGATCCTTCCTGGACCACACGGCGCCGAGGCACTGATGAGCGACCAGCTTCTTAAACACCTCGGCGTCCATCCGCGTCAGCTGCTCGGCGAAGTGACGGTGGGGCACCTCGGGGAAGATGTAGTTCCCCCAGTGATCCGCCATCGGATCCGGGGAACCGCGCATGGGTAGTCGTCCATTGTCGTACACCATGCAAGAGTCTAGAAGAAAGAGAAAACAGAATTGAAATTAATCCGGTTCGATCTAAAATTGATGAAAATTAATTTAAAATTACATACATAATTACGGCTAAATATTAATTTTCCTAATCAAAGTCGTAATTTTAATCAAATTTTTTTTATTTAACAGTTTTTAAAATATGAATTATTTCCAAATTTAATTGATCTAGAAGTATTTAAGAATTTATATCAATTTTTACAGCCTTAATATTTTAACGAAGTTAAAAATTTACTCATATTCTGATATAAATAGATTTTCTTAAAATATTACATTCTATCAACCCCTATTAGCGAGAACAAGTCACAATTATATTCGTGCCAGAAACTTTTCTTTGCAAAGTCTTTTCGAAATGTTCTCTCTCTCTCTCTCTCTCTCTCTCTCTCTCTTTCATTGGTTTTCATTGCAAGGAAAGCCATCTCTATTTTGGGAATATCGCAAATGAATCGGGTGCTCCATCAGGCGAGCCTCGAGTGAAAGGCGAGCCCTGCGGAGCCCAGTCGTGGGGGTAGTATAACAAGAGCTTGGTGGACCCTCAATTTATACACGGGAAGCAGACGCCTTTGTGCGAGCGCCGAGCAGCCTGATTGGCCTTTCACCGCCGCTAACATTCAGACTCTCTTTCTGCGCGCCGAACTCTCAACAGAGCGATTCTTTCGTAACGCCGTTCGCGCCGCGGTGAAATACGCCGCTTTAACTCTTTCCCTGCATTCTGGCGACTCGCGAGATAAGCCGCGAGATTTTCGCATTGCGAAATCTGAATACGCTGCAAGGTTCGGCCCTACGTTACTCCATCTGTATTATATATTTTTCTGTATATATTTCCTCCAGACTCCATCTGTATATATTTTTCTTTCCTCGCGCGACGAAATTCGACGAAAAAGTTTTGTAATTTGAGATTTCTTTACGGAGGTTGGGGCGATAATATTCGACCTTTCGAAACGTAATATTCCAGCGGGTGTTTTGCTCGCTTATCGTGATTCGGCGAATTCGCGGTAAGTAAAACAGGTCGCCGTGAGGATTGGAACGTAACTTGTTACGTTTCGATTACATAATATTATTACTCAATTCCATTGTCAGACTCGCCACCTGACCCTTTGAAAGTCATCAGGGAGATGCTTTTTATCGTGGATTCAAAAATATTTATTCAAATTCAAGATAATTCCGGATCGTGTATTTCAATTTCATTAAATAAAAATTCATCATTTAAAAATCGTGCTTTAAACAGCCGTAAATGTATTAAAATAAATATATGAAAATACACAGAAACGTTTTTAGAGATATAAAAATGAAAGGTAAATACGTTACATTAATTTTCAGTTGGTTACATGACGTGTTGATATTAAAAAAAAATAGATTTGATATTAAATTTGATATTAAATATGTACACCACTTTTTGTTACAAACGAATGAACAGCACAATGCCTCCCTTTAATGAAAATATATAAAGTTCATAGGAAAAGTCGTGCCACATTATCACTCTCTATATTTGAACTTCCCACGGTGCCTCTTATCAATTATACGATTCTTCGTGTTTAAAGTTCACGCGGATGAAGCGACGTGATTCTTTCCTCTCCCTCCCCCCTCCCCCTTCCCCGCGGGCTGACGTGAAATAACATTACCTATCTGATCCTCCCGCTGGAAGCGGTGCAGCCGGTGCTTGGCCTTAAGCTCGAGCTCGGAGCCGAGTAGGCGCTGCTGCGTGAACTCGAGGAGCCGGGTGAGCAGGGGATGGCTCGGGGGCGACTTCCAGTCGCCCGGATAGGCGTCCAGCCAGACGTGCAGCGCCTGCACCAGGGTCTTGCGGTGCTGCTCGCAGCCGGCGCTACCGTCCAGGGCGTCGTATCGCGCGAGCAGCAGCTCGAGGACGTCGCGCGGGCTGGTGAACGCGCGGTACGTCGCCAGGAAGATGTTTATGTAGGTGGACTCCAGCTCGCCGTCGTCGTTCGCCAGGCTCTCGACCAGCCGCTGCACCGTGCCGGCCTTCAGAAAGCGCACCCTCACCGTCTCCCATTCCAAGTGCGAGATCTCGTCGTCAGAATCCTGTATGGGCGAGTGGCAACCGCGCGGTGTTACTTGAATGTCAAAGCTATTAGCGCAAATGCACGCTCATGATGTGTGTCAGGTTTACTTTAAACTTTAAATAAAGGCATTAACTGTAATACGAGAACTTGCTAACTAAAATGTCTAAATTTTTAGCGAGAAAGACCGCGATTCTCGAATCAAATATCTTGTGGAAGATGCTGATCGCAAGTAGATACCGATTTAAATGCAATAAAGAAGACAAAGTATAATAAAAATTATTAAACGCTAAAAATTAACTACCAATTAAATTAGTAAGAATTACTAAAATCTGTGAAAAAAACAAATATTAAATTGGTAAAAATTGTTAAATTCTAAAAATCTAAAAAAAAATAAAGAACAAAAGTTGGTTAAAATTACTAAACTAAAAATCTTAATTAAAAATATATCGGTCATGCTCACCGATGCTGAGAGACTTCTGGTGGGCCGATGGTATCGGACCTTCTTTAGGTATACCGTGTATATGACGCCGTCGCCCCTTTCCTCGCCCCATAAACGCCACGTGGGCTGTAAAGCAGAAAATTGAATGTCGAACTTAGTCAGTGAACGTCCGTGTCCAATAATAAATGCTGTAGGCGGTGCAACGAAATCGCGCGCGCAATAACGAAGAATCGCGCACCGGGGGATGATTTAAGCTCCTAATTTCACGGCGGACTGCTCGCCACCCTGTCGCGAGCTAATAAACCAACAAATAAACAGGATAATTTGGAATAAAAAAAGACGATTCTATTTTTTTTCTGTCTGCGGTCAATTTGTTTATTTGTGACAAGTAAGATTGACGCGCGCATTCAGCGGCTTTATAAAATTATTATCGATTACACATTTTACATGTAAGTTCAGTTGGCAAGAGAAAGAAAAAATTGGTATGGATATGATAATCGCGTTGCTGCATTAATTATTGCATTGCATTAATTACCGTATTACGTAATTATCTTTATATATGTTCTTAATTTTATACTGATTATGAAATCATCCCCCAGGTTGCCTTTCCATACACTATTCTGAATATGCAAATTTTGACGGACTACGTGCTTCATTATTTCCAAGAATTTAATTTTTCTCAGAATTTTCTGAATCATCAAAACAATCAAGCCAATGCACTTAAGTCGGAAAATAATTACGTGCTAATATATAAGAATCTCTGGCAGAATGCTTCGGAATAATTGCATCAAACCATGAAAATGCGATACGATCTGTTATTTTCAAAATTTAATCAGACGCGTGATTACGGAGTTCCTTTGCCTTGTAAAACTCTCTTGATTCACACGTTGTGCGAAGCATTCTGCAGAAAAGTAGCGTGTGAGGATCGGGATAAAATGCAGGCAAGGATAAGATAAGCGTCTAACTGACGATCGATGTTTATCAAACGAGATAATTGTCAAAAGCGTATAAAGAACTCCAAATCTATTTACTCCTTGACTTTTAAATCAATGAATAAACCATGGGATCGACTGACTCATCTCCGTGCATAACAAACAAACGTGCTGGCGTGGTGTGCGTGTACGCACGTGTATACGTACGCGTATGTGTAACATGCAAGCGAGTTACTTATCAGTGACAGTCGAGCGCGCGCCACAGGCGGTGTCTGTATAATTAATCCCAGCCTGATGAAGACGGGCTCGCGCTCACGCGACGACGTATAACTATCTCTATGCGATAACGCCTCGCCTTATAGAGGTGATTAGCCTTTGGAAAAAGGTGCTGCCGCGGATCGTCGTCGCGGAAAGAAGCTGCAATTGGCGGACCTTTCGAAGCCGCGTCCCGCGAATGCAACGATTAATCATTCCCCGGCGACTTGACGTCAAATTAAAAAATCCAATAAAAATTTTGTTATAAAATTTGGTTAACACGATAGCCTAAAAAGTCAAATTTAATAACTTCGATGAAGAGAATTAAGTTTGGAATAAATTAACGATTTAATTGCAGCTTTTACAGGTATCGTTGACATGACTATCAACGGATTTTTTTTTTCTCGAGACGTAATCGTGGATTGTGAAACGTGACACCGGCGCTTGGCGTGTCACGTCCATTTATTTGGCATTGAGATCCTGTAAACAAAGCGGGTCTTAGAGGCCGTAAAGGGGGCTTAATGTCGTGGAATCCGGCACGACAGACGTATAACGCATTCGCGCTGGCACGAGCGATTACAATCGAAGCCGTACTCTGAGGATGATGCAGTGCGGTGGGGGCGGGGTGGGAGGGGGGTAGACTCGACGCGGAGGGAGAAGCGTGTCATTGCCGCCACCGATGCTTTTTCTTTTCGCCTCCGAGAAAAGAGATCGTCCTGCGGAAAAACGGCAGAAAACCGGAATCCGCATTCCGCAGAGACATCACGCGCTCGCTTTTCCTGGTTGGTCGTTGGCCGCTTTATCAGGAGTGTCTCTCCCGCGGGGTATTAATTAAGAAAATAGCTCGCGGAATTACCGGAATTGCCCGGAGAATTACGTATTTACTGCAACTATACAATGTACAGGTGTAATTATAAATTAGATTTCATAAAAATGAATTGTCACGGATTATGAAATAATTATTTTTTAAAATAAGGACGCTGAAGTAAGACTCAAAAAATATATTTTTCAGTCATGAAACTCATGAAATTATTTATTCGGATTAAAAATTATCGTAAATTTTAATGAAAAATTAAGTTCCATCTGCTTATTAATTCTAATTTGTTTTCTAATTAGATTCTAATTAGATTCTTTTTAATCTAATTTATCACAAATTACATCCGATTGATTTTGATATTGTAATCCAATTTGAACATGGTAACGAAAATTTGTCGGGTTAATAATTTTTAAATAATTTGGACCTAATTCTTGAGCTTCATGGCAAGAATTTCCCTTTCAAAAATTAATTTGGCTAAGTTTCTCGCAATTTGTGGATCATTAAATAGATTTGATTTTAAAAATTCAAACGAGACGGAGAGCTGTCGATCGCAAGCGAGAACCACGAAGAAACGAGGACTCCAAGTCCGCCCGCTCACGCCCCGGAACGACCGAGCAATTAGACGCCCGCAGGAGGAACCCGAGCGTGACTCGAGGTCCTCGTACCTGCGCCGCGTGCTCGTCCTTGGCAAGCCGCTTCCCTCGAGTGTCGATTCACCATTGTTCCGCTGTAAACAGCGCGAGCTCGGGCCTCGAACGTCCTTACGCAAAGCGACGCGACGCGACGCGACGGAGTATCTCCCGATCGAGGTTGAATCGTAATTAAGGACATTTCCGGCAATAAGCACCGTGGAGTCGTGCATATGATATCTTGCGTCAATCACGTCACGCGGGATAATGGCGCTTTTACCTTAAAACACGCACACGCTCCTTCCGTTTATTTTATTTAATTTCACGAATTGATAACATCACGTATATTTATTACATATATTTATTATTATATGACGCGAAAAATAACTTTTATTCTTTTCCAAATAGAAATTAACTGCGAGTGCCGAAAGAAAAATAAGAATCTTGAGGGAAAACCGCTGAAACTAAACGATACTCGTTTATTTCGAGGATTTTGGAATAGTATATTGATCGTAATTTCCAAAGCAACGTGTACATGATATGTGTTTAAATTATAAAATGATTAGTTCAGGTACAAGTAGATAGAAAACGGTTTCGCGATTACACACATCGAGCGACAGGGAGCAATGACTTTTCCAGGATGGGAGAGGGTGGTAACTCGACGTGGTTTCCGAATTTTAATGCCAGTATCGCGTGTAAATGAACTAAATATACCGAGCGCGACGCGGCCGCGGTAGATACGGCGATTCGCGCAGGTACAAGAGGGGGGGAGAGGGACATCGATCGGCGGGGGAAACGGAATGCAAAATTCATGAGATCGCGTCGACGTCGACGTCGTCGTCATCGCGCGAGCGCGGCTATAAGTAAATTGACGGCTCGGTGGCAGAGTACGCGCGCGATAAAACGTAACATTGTCCGCCGTGCGTTTCTGGAACGTCGCCGGGACCTGTATCCACGTATGTAAGTATCTGCATGCCGCGAATATACATGGCGAACGCGGCGGGCGGCGGCGTCGCGGAATCCCGTAAACGTCCCGCCGCGCCGGGGTCAACGGTCCGCGCCTCCGCGGGGTCCCGAAATACATCCCCATTATTATTTCCCGTTGGACTCTCGCGGGAATCCGACGTCGGGGAACTGCTGAATGTGGAAAGCGTTTCGCGACACGCGCGAACGTTCTGCCGCGAGCGAAAACGTGCAGACGCGCCCCGTGTCTTTGCATCGCCGAATCGATTTTACTCATTTCTCTTTGTAGAATCAGACTGACTAAAAACTGCACGTGGGGCCTTTATTTCATTACCGTCGGCTCATTGGAAAGAGTGACGATGCTTTCCTGCGGCAAAAGTCAGCAGATCGGCGCCTTTCTAAATACCAGAACTATATACATATATGTATATGTATTAAATTATTGTACATATTATGTACTTATTTAATTGATTAATTTTTTCGTTTAATTATAATTATTCATATGACTATATTATTATATGCTATATATAATTATGTATATTATATAACAATATAATGGTACAATTATAATAAATAATTTAAATAAATATATATGACATTTGATATAAAGTTAGCCAAAATTTATTCCGACTCTAGAAGTTGTTTCAAAAGAAACAACGTCGTCATTTTTCATAAAAGACTTTTACGAGGGAAAGTTTCCTCAGCTGGATGACGATTAGTGCAAATTATTTTCGCTCATCTAACTGCCAAGTGATCGCTCTTTTTTTCCCCACTCAGGAGACGATACAGTTCTGATGACACTCTGACCCTGATTACTTGGTTAAACAGTCCGCGTGTGTGCGAGACGCACGTACGAGACGATCAGTGCGCGGCTTTAATCCGGGAATCAGTGTCACTCATTGCAGCCAAGGTTTGGAGAGCACGGAGATTGATATAACTGCGATAAGGAGCCTGTATCGCACACATACATACAATTCGTGATTGACATGCACTAGTCTAAACATTGAACGACGAAAGCATCCAAAATATTGACATTCTTTTTTTCTCGTGCGTCTTAAGATCAAATTAAATATTCAACATAAAAAAAAAACGATACTCTTAGCAGGTCACATGCAACATACAGGGTGTATCGTAAAGATAAACAACATGTCGAGATACACATTCTTTGATTGAACTCCGAAAGTTACTTGTCAAAAAAAAGATTTTAAATTTCTTGCGATTCGCACCATTGGCATTGACATCAAACTTCGCAAAATGAGTATTGAATTAAAAATTTATTACTAGATAAATTTCAATGAAAAAAAAAAAACAGATTCACATGGAAAAAATAATGTTGTATTAAATGATAACGTTAGTCTAATTGGAAATAATTTTGTTAATATTAATGAACAAATACGTCACGCTCTTGTTTTTTTAATAGGTATTATTTGCCTCGATAATACTGCTATTGAATTAACAAGATCACTTTCAATTAGACTATTATATCGCTGTTAATGCAACATCCTCTTCTTCCGACGTGGATAAGCCTAATGTGAAAAGAATCGATTCATGAATAACTCCTCGTACGTTACGTCGAGAACTCCCACTTTCGGCGTTATTGAAGGAATTTCGCGATTGAGCTTGCTTAACTCGAGTGTTTGCCGAAAGTCGTGGGGACAAGCATTATCGGACAGCATTACGATACACTTCCCGTGCGAAATATGTATGACATATACGATTACACACCAAAGCCTCGTTCTCAATGACAAAAGGCGCCTGGCAAATTAAATAGAAGTCAAACCAAATACCAGTAAAATCACCGAGCCAAGTCGAAGCAAGCCCGCGATCTTATCGCAATCGATACGTTATCGTTATCCCGTGATCTTCGTCGTGATCTCTATACTAATCTAGGCACACGCGCGCGAAACTACATACTCTCGCATTCAGGCAAATGCGCTCGTAAACGAAGCGTGACGACGACAACGTGAGTCGTCAACGAAAAAAACGAAGCAGAAACGAACGGGCGAATGTAACAAACGAACGAAGGCGGAAAAAACAGCGGGATGCCGTCCCGGTCATCCGGTGGTCTCTTTACCTGTTGCACGTACCACTGGGTGGAGCTCTGGCTCTTCCGGTGGCCACCGGGCTTGCAGGGGGCGCAGAGCAGCAGGGGAGTCAGTTTGTGCACCCCCTTAGCGGGGGGGACGGTGCCGGTCGCCGCCGGCGTGGGCGACGTTGTGGGGCTCAGCCCGTCATCCCCCCCCAACACCGGCCACAGCATCCACGTGTTTTGCCCTCTGCACCCCCGTCTATCGTCCTCTCGCCCCTTTCACGTCGGTGTGTGTGTGTCACCCTTTCTTTTTTTATTTCCTTTCTTTATTTAACTGCACGCCTCCAGTTTTTCATCTGCTCCTCCGCGTCTTCTTGTTTTTGTCCTCTTCGCACCCCTTTGGTACACCCTTCTTCTCTCTCTCTCTCTGTCTCTCTCAGGCGGGGGAGGCGACCTCCTTCCGGGAGGATCCACGCGTTACGGCACGAGGCTGTAATCGCGACGCCCGTTGCCGGCGTACTGAGATCGTCGGCCGACGTCGCGTCACCACGCCTCGATGTCGATGACGAAGTTGACGTTCACGCGCGATCGCCCGCTCGGGATGCAGGAGCGTATCATGGTATCACGGGTCGTAGCGGATTATTCCCGACGCTCGGCAGCTGCGGCTGAAGTTTGAGATTTCGATCGGTTGAGGATAACCACGCGGGCAACGCTTAGCTGCCTAGAGGGGTCACGCGGAGGGTCACTTCGTCGTCTTATTTCGCGACTGCATCGATAAACTCCGGAGTGATAGCGACGGGGCTAGTGCCCCGCGCGATCGTCGCGATTTTAGCGCGATTATCAATTATTTGTATATATGTTCATTCTAAATATACATAATAAATATCTAAATTCTCATTGTGTGTATGTGCGTTTTCAAAAATAAATCTGAATTTATTAGATCCATCCATCCTTTATATAAATTATATAAATTCTATTTTCCAATATTAACAATTTCCGTTCAATCAAAGAAAGAGGCATTAACGAGATTTAATTTAAAACATTTTAATTATATTTTATTAAAGATACATTGAAGAGAGATTTTAATTTGTAATATCTTCAATATTACAAATTAAAATCTCGGCCGATGATACATCTGAAAAGATTATTTCAGAAATTAAATTCTAATTTGGAGTATTTATTTCAAATGAATTTTAACACAATTAATTGTTTTTTTTTTGCGTTACTCGCTCTTTAATTTAAAAGATTTTATTTTAAAATATTTTATTCCAATCGAGCGAAGAGTTACTTTTAGATGAATCTAGAAACGTGTACGTTATCCTATATTTATATTTATATTTATATTTATTCTAAATATAAATATAAATATAAATCTTCATTGGATATACCTACATGTGTTTTCAGGAATAAATCTGAATTTATTTAGGTTATCCATCCTTCATATTTATATAAATTTAAATTCATTTCCGAATATTGACGATTTCTGTCTATCCGAAGAAAGAAACATTAACTTTAATATAAATTTAGGTATTACATTCCATTAAAATTGCATAAAAGAGATTTTAACTTTTAATTTTTTTTAATATTACCGATAATACAATACACGTGTGTAAAGAGATTATTTCAGACTGTAAATTTGATTTCCAATTTGAATTGCGTATCCATCACTGTCGCGGCCCTGTGAGGCAAATGCACAATCGTACGTTTACGCTTATCGCCGATCGATTGTCGTTACACCTGTCTTACAGCGAAACTAACTGCGAAGACAAACGTACGGATCCGACGCGCTCTATTTCGGGAAGCTAACGAGAACGGCGAGACGCCTCCGGTTCGCCGCGCTTCAATAGCTCGGCAATTAATTGGCTCTAAAAGGTCGTAGGTGACGTGCGTGTACTTACGCTCTCTTCCGGTACGCGTGTTGTAACGTGTTCACGCGTGGGCTACGCAACCCTCCCATGAGTACTAGTAAACTGTGTATTTCTATATGAGCAGGGTTGCGCAGAGAGCAAACGACTTGCGCTATCCCTTTCCCCTTTTCACGGCTAAAGGGCAGCATGCAATATGCGGAGCGTCATTTAAATGTTACATTTCACCGAAACGAAGGTAAAAATATAATTATCTCGCAACGCGAAGCCACCACGTCGGATTTAACGCGTTTAATTTTCAACCGTTGCTCGGCTTAGCGACCGAAAGGACTGCAAGACGAACAGTAATGAGAGACGTCGTGATACAATTACGCGGCGGAGTTGTGTACCGTTTAGCTGTTCCGTCAAGTTATACGATAGAGGTAATTATTTCATTGCGATGAGTAATTACCATTACAATTATCTCTATCGTATAACTTCTCTCTCCTTCTCATAATTGTGCGCGCTCGAAATATTTCTCTCGCGAGATGGGACAACCTTTGACAGACTCCCCGCGAAACGTCACCTCGGTGTTAAAGGGCTTTGCATTTGAAACCGCGCGAAACTGCAACATGGCGAAAACGTGCAGACGCGTTCGTCTTGTCGATTGCCAATTTGTTACTGCCGTCGTTGCGTTCGGTAACATTAATGGAGCGATATAATCCTCATTCCGCGAATTAACCGTCACTATCGCGGGAACGATATCTCTCGCGGTTTAATAACCAACGGCCGTGGGGACCGTCGGAATGGGGACACGGGCGGGAGGCAGAGGGAATATATATTTTTACTCTAGATTTTTATTCTCGGGGGAGAAGAAAGAATTCTTGGGGTGCACGCGTTGTTTAGAATAGTCTCCGCAGCCCACGCGGGGAGACGAAAGCGCGTTATTATATGCATTGCGGGGAGGAGCGCAATCATTTCAGAAATATACACTTCTAAACTATCTTTAGAAAATAACGTACCCGGACGTCCTTTTCTCTCTCTCTTTCTCTCTCTCTCTCTCTCTCTCTCTCTCTCTCTCTCGATATATCCCCGGCGTATTTTTGCTCTCCGGAGAAAAAGTTTCCAGAATACTTTCTTTATATCCCGCGAAGGAATTCGGAGCGTCAGCTTTTTCAGTATTCTCTCCCACGAATGTGACGTCAGAACGTCGCGGAAAACCGCGCGCTCAGAGAAAAACATAATTGTGGCAATTATAAAAGTGATAACTATACAAGTTTTTGCATCTGACAAGATGTTGCAACAACTGTAAAATTGTTGCAATAACTATAAGATAAAGTAATTGCAAGAATTACAAAATAGTTCACTCAACTGTTTACATTACGTTACATTTCCACGTGTAAAACTTGTCACTTAATAGTTGTCACTTTTATAGTTGCCATCACGTTTTTTTTTTCTCTGAGTGCGGAATGTTTGCCTCGCAAACGAGACGGGTCCCGCTCTCGATTCTCGGTCGTGTTTGTCAAAAATAAAGAGAGAGAAGAGAGAAGAAGACGCACGTCGAACGTCGATCGGGACGAGCTCGTTCTCTGAAAACGACGAGCTCGATCGTCGAAATTCGATTATTCCTCACGATTGGATTTCGCCGACTAGACGAATATGTAACGGACATCACACGGTGCGATGGCCCTACGACGCAACGGTGATATTCACAGTGTAATACGCGGAATGATAAAAGTGTCGATGCCCGTCAACGCCTCGCTCGTCGGTGAATACGATAAAACGAACGCCCCGTCGCGTCGCGGCGTGACACGAGAGACGAACGGGCGTATGTCGCAAAATCTTAACCCTTTCGGCTAACGCGACGCGTCGAGAACGCGCGCGAGTGACGATTTTGAATAATTAATTTGTCGCGCACATTTAATTCTCGTGGATTTAATTATAAACAGCAAACTCTCCTCGCAAATCATCGCTTCCATTTCTTGATAGCAAACAATATTATTTGATATTTCCTTAAATCGTACCTTTTTTTATCACATTTAGTTCTACATGAAATTTTATCGCGCATTAAATTCCTCAATTAAGAGTGAATTCTTCTGAATTGTCGCGTCCCATTGTGATAATTTCTCTGAATAAAAAAACAATTAGACGATTATTTTTCTAAATTAAAAAATTTTTATCACGTTTATTTCTACACGAAATTTTATCTCGCATTGCATTCCTCAATTAAGAGTAAACTCTTTTAAATTGTCGCGTTCTATTTTAATTCGTTCTATTATAATTACTTTCGGAGATGAAAAATAGCCACCCAACGTCGTCTTTCTTTGAAAAAAATCAAGTTTTTTTTTATGACATTTATTTCTCATAATTAGCTATTGTTCGAAATTTTGTCACTACATCTCATTCAAATGAAATTATTTCTTACGTTGTTTCAAATTACAATATTTAAGATGATAAATGATATGATTTTGAAAAAATTTCTTCGTTATATTTGACTTTCTATCTTGACGTTAATTTGACGTAATGGGCGAATTTTTTTGCTTTATCTCCTCTCGGAGGAAGGAAACCCTTAAAGAATGGGAACAGAAATTGACTTTGAACGTTTTCCGTTAAATCGACTTCCGTAATTTTTATGACGTACGCGCGCGAGAGAGATTGTGCGACGCGTTAATTTTTATCTTTGCAACGACAGATTTCGGCGACGAGTTGGAGCCGATTTATCTAGTGCTATCTCTAGTGTCTCTCGACGCGACACACTACCAGGCGCGGGAGCGCATGCAATCGAAATGCATTATGCAACACACAGGTATTGTTCATAAAGGGGAGGCCAGCGGCTCGTACAGCGGGAGGCAGCAGGAAGTGCTTAACCCACGTTTAAGCACCTCTCTCGCGTCTATCGCGCTCGCTGTCATTTAGTGGCTCTAATGGCGCTCATGTAAAACCCTTCATCCGCCAATGGAGGATCCTAATTGCCCCGGTTTCCGCGCGCGCTCCTGATGCGCCCTACTATATATACTTCGCCATCTATAATAATTACAGGTCCGTTCCTTTGTGCGTGCGTGCAGTGCGGACCGCGGAATTACGCGCTCCGGGCGTTACACGGAGCTTATCGATTTTCGGCGAAAGCGCGCGCTGTCGGAATATTTCGCGAACGTCGATAAACATCCTTCTGCCGTGAACGGCAAAATATTTACTCTAGAGAGGATTAGACTCTTCGATGGAATTAGCGACGAGCGGTAGAAATTCGCGTTTCGCTCAATTTATAAATTCCTATTTTATAAATAAACGAAAAAAAAGTGACCGATATGAATTTCGTTTCGACAAATATGAATTTTGAATGATCGATCTATATTTATTTGAGCGATTATTTGACAAATTTTCTACTTTTTTTCGCGAAGGTTTGAATCAAAAAGAGAAAAAGGTAATGCAAATCGCGTGCCGGTCGAAACTGCGGGGAATAATAGTGTCAGCGGATCATGGGAAGCGAATGCCTAACTAATGGGTTACTCGGTTAGTCATACGTTACGTTGATACGCGAAATGCTCGCACGTGAACGTGTACGCGCGCGTATGTGTGCCCCCGCGCGACTCAACAATAACTGGTTAGAGTCTTTCAAGGTGTTTCTGCATCCAGGCCGAATGGAAAGAAATATTTCTGTCGTGTAATTTTCCATCTTGGTGCCGTGCAACCGACTTTATTTAGCAAGGAAGCAAAGAATCACGTAAAAAAAATTCGCGAAAAATTTAGACAGACAGATAGAGGGAGAGGGAGAGAGAGAGAAATGCACAAAATACAGGTATACTCATTGAAAGCTTCGATTGCTAAAGTTAAACGAAAGTTAAACGAAATTATTACGACCTCGAATAGGGGAAATGCTCCGAGATGCACGATCTCGAAATAGCTGTGAAATCGAAAGCGGAAATGATATTCGAATGATTACGTTCGGCCGAATGCAGACAGTCGAGTATACCAAGAGAGAAAAGAAGCAACAGAGTAAAGAATAATTTCTCGCACGCGATTATTCGAACGATTCAGCGAATATAAAGGATTCGAAAATTTATAACGGAACGTACATGCAAAGCAAACATTAAAATTTGACATAAAGGAAGAGCGGGTCGGCCCTGCACTCGTAAAATTATTTTTATATTGAAGAAGCGAGCAGGCTTTCAAGGACAACGGCATTGTAAAAGATTCTAAAGGAAGTTTTTATTGTTCACGACGTTACAAAAGAGGAGATTATTTTTGTAATTTCGAAAAGTAAGTTCCAAACTTAAGATTCTCATTTTTCTTTTCATGTCTTTTTATGTTAAATACACAATTTTTATTTGTCGTTAATTGCAATATTTGATTTTCGTTATTAATTTCACTGAGAGAAAACCCACGGTTAGTCAATAATATGTGTTCCAATAGTATTTTTTTATTATTAAATTTATTTAAGAATAAATGTATTTTTCACTTTTTTAATCTTGTTATTAGCTCGTCGTTAATTGTAATAATTAATTTTTATGATTCCGTTGACAGAAAATTCACGATTAGTCAATATTCCAATAATATGTATTATTTTATTATTATTCTTTATCTCGACCACTTGAAAATAAATATATTTTTACCTTTTAATAATACACATATAAAATTGTTTGTATTAACTTGCCATCATTGAGCATTATCTTTTCTCTGTCGCATTTGTGTGTATCGAACTTGCTTAATTAATTAATTATGTATTACTTTTGTCGGCGATGAGACCGATTTTGGGCTGTCCGAGCCGTCGTAATTAAGTTATAAATCGTGAATGAAGGCTGTACAACATGAAGCCATTAAAGTTCACATTTATAGCGCGATTTGAAACGGCGACAACAACGTTTCGCTGGCAATTAGAGTGCGGTATCGATCGCGCCGCGAGAACGGGGCAATTTCCGAATTCAGAGAAAAACGCGACGCGTATCTTTATAGAGAAATGTTGGACTTATGGATCCCGCGCTTACTCCCCTGAACGCTATGAATCATTATGCAGCTGGATCGATTACGGACACGGACAAAGCGTTGCGTGCTCCAACGCGCGATCGGCGTTGCGAATGAAAAGTCAGATTCTTTCAAGGAAACCAAGGAACTTATATCACAGACTGATATATTATTCAATTATTAATTATATCCAAGGTGATGTTAAATAATTGCCAACTTCCTTTAGGAACGCTCTAAACGCGATGACGCTTGAAAAGTCTTATTTGGCGTGACAGACTTGAGATATTAATACAATTAAATTCGCGAGATAGGCCAATGACAGTTACAAAGGATCTTGATGCTTCACTAAAAATTTATATGATTTTTATATACTTTTTTTCTATAGTTCTATAGTATAGTTCTACAAACATTGCGCCTTTACTTTCGATTTCAAAGCAGTTCCTAATTAAACCAGAATAATATTACAGTGTATTAAATTGATAATTTAATAATATTGATGCTTACAAGCATCTCATAAGATCTTCCCCCCTCCCAACGCGATGCGTAGAATACTGTAAAGAAATTTTTCTGCGAAAGATATTACCTCAGCTAGGTTGAGAAATTCTTTGAAATCTTCGGAAAGGTCAAGTGGACTTATACATTGACATATTGCTCAATTAATTATTAATTATATTCACGATAATTTTAAGTAATTGCTAGCTGGCTCTTGAAAAGCTCTAAATGATTTGTCCTCCAGAAAATCGCTTAAAAAAAATCTCGTTCGGCGCGACAGACTTGAGGATTTAAATTCAATCTTCGGAAAGGTCAAAGTGGAGCGCAGTTTAAAAAACTGCGTGAAGCGAATCGTTGACCGGAAAATTGGCGGATGGCAGGAAATTAGCGACGCGCACACACACACACATACACATACGCTGATCGAGCAATTCCCGCCGAGAATCTTTCCGGCGAGGTCGAGCGAGGATCGTCCTTTGTCCGATCCTCGCGTATTAGCGGCCCGTCCTCGGAGTTCGCAACTGCAAAACACGCCCGATGATATCAGCGTCTGTTAATCACCGCCGCGTTCTCTTAATCATCGGCGGATCGACTGCGACGAAGTGACTCTCGCGAGTGGGAATTACCGCGGCAGACTGGAGCAGCTGCTCCGGATTTCATTTACCTGCGGCACCACTCGAGGTGTGCCAGGTGCACGCTGTCACCGCGCCCGGAGTGGATCACCTGACGACGGTGCCGAACGTGTGTACGCGCGCGACCGGCTCTCTCTCCGGAGGAGCTAAGCGGAATGACCGCACCGCACGCCGTCCCGACGCCGACTGACGACTACGAGTGACGCGTCGGTCGTCGTCGGTCACAGGCAGCCGCGCGCCCCGTGCACTCCGGAGGATGCACTGACCATGCCGCCACGCTACGGTCGTGACCGCACGGTCAGGAACGTACCCGCCGATATCGGGCACCGAGGCCGACAGACGGCGCCGAGGGTGCGTTCAAAACGGATCGATTTTGCAGCCGGTCTACGTTAGTCCTTTAGTTCTCGGAGTAAACTGCTTCGAAATTGAAATAAATCTGCATTGAACCGAAGAAAGTTATTTATATATTTAGCAGACTAATGCATTTATTTGATATTTCCGCTTTTATTAAACAAAATAAATCAAGCAGTTTAATATAAAATATTACAATAAGTTAGGAAAAGAGAAAGCTGTCTAATTTATTTGGCAGACTTACGTTGTTTTAATTTGTTTATTCATCATCGTGGCAGTTAATTAAGATTTTCACTTGCGAGATAATTTATATAATCGCGTCTCTTTACAATAAATTCTAGAGAGAAATCAAAGTCTCCGATATAAATAGAAATTTATATTTAGTAAATTAATTTATTTATCTAATATTTTTGTTTTCTATTAAATAAAATCAATCATTTAATAAAATGTTAAAAAAATAAAATAGAGAGAGTGAGAGAGAGAGAGAAAGCGCTATTTAATTTAGCAGACTATGTTGTCCCGATTTGTTTATTTATTACTCTGGCAGCTAATGAAGGTTTTCACTCGCAAAATAATTTGCGACGATCGCGTCTCTCTGCGATAAATTCTGGAGAGTCAGAGAGAAATCAAAGTTTCCGTTATAAATAAATGAATTAGTCGTGGAATTTACTGTTAATATAACACTCGTGGAAGATTCTACGCAAATGCAAAAATACAAAATACGAGAATTAAGGTTCTTTTCGCTCGAAACAATTTACAGGATGTGCGGCACATGACAAGCGCACACATGCGTGACCATTCGCAGGCCTTCGACGAGGCTCCTTTAACGCTTTCTACACATAATCCTGGAAACACGGGGATCTTCCACGGTTACGTGTAATCTTCATTTGGAGGTGATTACGTGAATTTTCGTTCGATTTGCCGAGATGATAACTCGATGACAAGCGAAATAAATAACTGATAATAAAATCGTATAAATATCGCTATAAAATGAAATATTTGTCCCACCATCTGTCTTAATAAATGGAATTTTTCAGCTGATGATTGTGAATTGTTATGCTGTCGCCATTAACGACAAATTAAAATTAATCGTTTCAGATCCTTTTGTCTTCATGTTGAATAATATCCCTTTCGTTGAATAATATCCCTTTTCTTTCTTCGCTGGACTCTGTCTGTTTCTTTCATTGCGATTGTTCTTTGTTAATTTATTTAAAGCGAACAGGGGCTGCGTCGCATTTCCATGCGAGAATAGCCAGACTCTCGCATAAAACAGTCTGAGTCATCAAATCCCTCCCATATGCATACTGTCTACCGGAGAGAAGGAGCAATGTTGCAAGGGTGGCGGGACAACCCTCAGACAGGCGATATGAAGTTGAACCGTAGGGAACGATCGTCACATGCGTCTACCAGCTGCTTTATCCAGCATCCTTCAATGAAAGTTACGGGCATATCTCGATAAGGGTAAATCACCGGCTCGAATCGCCGGCTCAAATTTCTGGTTGCGATAAAATAATACCATTCTAAGAATTTTGTTGATAATTAAAATTTGATTTTGGACTTCAAAAAATTTTAATACACCAAATGAAATAATTTTGAATTAATTGTTTCATTTTATTTTAAACAAGAGAAAATATAGATCATATTCTGCTAAAAATTTATCTTCATATATTTTTTAAATTTATATTTAACTTTAGACTGTAACAATAATTTAATTTTAATTTACAGAGAAACAGAGTCTCTCTTTTTCTTTATTGCACTTTCCACAAAATATTTGAATTGTTACTGCACGCGTTTTGAGCTGGGTCCCAGCTCTAGATTCGATCGTTTTTCGCGTCGACTCGCTCTTGAGGAAAGAACTCGCGTGCGGCCTTCGATCGGTCGCGACAAAGTATCTCGATCGTACAAGTGGGATGCCTTCCCGGATTGCGCGCGCGGCCATAAATTTTCCAACGAAGCGCGCTCGTTACTGAACTTGAACCGGCAATAACGATCGCCGTTAATCCCTTACGTCGTTCGTTATCTGATGACACGATGCACTCGTGACGCGCTCCCGTGGCGAAGGAGACGTCATGTGGGTGACGCAGTGCGCCCACCGTTAATTACGTCACGGCGACGTCATCGTTATCGTGGGACGAGGTCGGCGCGAATCGATACGCCTTCAAAAAGCTACGCCAATTTTGTAAGTTAATGCCGGAACTGCTGATTCGCGGCGGTTATCGCAAAGTGAGCATGAGTCACTCTTTATTCGAACGAAAATGAAAGAAAAACAATAGTTCTTATATCGATTTAATATTTACTTGTTTATATTCAACCGACAAAAGTGCGCACGCAATTTTTTTAAATATTATTAATGATTTTAAAATAACTTTAATATTGATATATAAATTAAATTAAAATGATTTTAATTAATTATATTAATAAGTTTCTTTCAACAATTCTTTTATTAACGAATTTCAATTTAATACAGTTCTTTCAAAAGTCCAACAATTGTTCACTTTTGAGTTTAAGAAAGCACACGCTTGAGAAAAGAATGTTAGGATTAATCTCGCAGATCTGTAAGGCAATGGAAGGGTCTGATCTTCTGCCAGATGTCATCTGAGCAGCTGGCCGATCAGGTCGTTTACTTTCGCGTCGCCTTGTACCTACTCGCGTATACGAGTGCAGGTTCGTGAGAGGAGCCACGAGTCCGGCAAAAATTCCCGCGCCTTCGGCGAAACGACGTTCGTTAACCTCGGTATTGGCGAGGCATTTATTTTTCTCTTGCTGTCTAGAAAGCGTCTTTCGAGCGGGAACTACCGTCACCAAGCCGAAGAAATTCTAAACTCGTGAGCGGGCTGATTGAGAATGGACGATTAACATATGCTTACAAATGGCCGCCGAAACCGCTTGGTCGTCGCGGCGATTAGAATACTTGCTTTGACTTGTTTTATACTCGCAAAATGTAAAAAAAGAAGGAAAAACCGCCATCCATTTTGGCGCATAAAAAGAAAAGAATTAAGTTAATAAGAATTGAAAGAAATATTTTGCAGTAAGTAATTAATTGTTTTGAATTATAAATGGAAATTAATCGATATCATTGTACATGATAACATATTTATTTTAATTCCCGTGAATCTGCTTTTGTCTTTCGTAGCGAACTAAAGTTCAATTTTTGAGAACATTGATTTTAAGAAAAAAATTGTTACCAGAATCGTTTAGAATTGTTATAAACACATTACTAATTAAATCTAAAATACAATATATAATAATATATATTTAATATGTCAGGATAATTAGAGCATAAACAAAAATATTATATACGTTATAAAGTCCAGAAGTTTTCGGGTAAAAAAGAGATGAATAAAATAAAGCAATTATTTTTCAATAGAATTTCGCTGTATTTCAATATATTTTTTAGAACAATAAATTAATTTTTTCATACCACTAAAAAATATTCTGCATTGTAATCCGTACAAATTTTTTAATATTGCATTGGTTATTTTATCATTGGTGAATTTTCTTTCAGGCGAACCGGAATTTAATTCTGAAATTTATTTTATTTTCAGTTTTTATTTTAAGGGCAAAAGTTCCAAATATTTTTAGTGGCATAAAAAAATAATTTATCGTTCTAAAAAAATATTTTGAAAGTCACCCTTTAGTGTGTGATTAATTAACAAAGTGTGATTATATTAAAAAATAAAAATGGTTGTTTCATCTTTTATCACCTTCTTTCCTTGAATCAGAAATTTTTTAACTTCATTATACATCTTTATTATATATCTATTAAATATAAAATATTTCAAACGCAAGAATCACTCTTTTGGGATTGTTAATGTTAGATTTCGGAATCCGCCTTATTGTTTGTATATATGTGTGCGTGTGCGTGTGTGTGTTTCTGTTTGTGCCTGTATATCGCACGAATACAGAGATAAATTTTTTCTACTTTCACACGGTAACGAACACCGCGAGCACCACGTGCTCCGCCAGCGGTAATCCACCTGCGCGGTTCTCGTTATTGAGCAGTGCTGACTCGCCTTCATCGCGGTGCATTTTTCATTGATAAGCGAGCTCAACTCAAGTGTCGAAGAGTCAGTTTAATTGAGTTAGGGAGCATTAATGAATATTAAAAACCGATAGGGGCCGAATCGAGACCATGTGTTTGCGTGTGTGCGTCATATGAGCGACAAACGCGCCCTCGGCACGCATGAGCATATCGGCCGTATCGCACGGCCGGAAATCTATACCGGCTGCGTTACGCGTCGATTAGGATACGCGTTTACGCAAGTTGATAGATTCATCGCGGCGAATAAATCGTTGCGCTCGCGCGTTCGAGCCACTCGCTCGAGCACCGCTCGAACGTCGCGCGACGACGTTCAATTTCTCGTCCCATTCAATTCGACGAGGCGGGATATAATCGCTTGATTAGCGAAAGCATATAGAAACTCGCGAGAGAACGCGACTCTTCTCAGCGTTTTACTTTCGTCCGCGCCGCGCACAATGCCGAGACGCGCACGCGCATAATATACACACAAATCGTGCACCGCGTACGATCGCCGCGATAATTGCATCCCGCGGGCGCAATTAAGTATCCAGCCGCGCGCGCGCGCGCGTGCGGCCCAATCGGAGAAACGCACAATGATCGCGAATTTACATACGGGAGACCCACGTACAGGCCCTGTTTTAGAAAACGCGCGCGAGATTATCGTCGCCGTTGCGTATCGTTTTCAATGAGAGACCTTGAAGAGTTGCAGCATTTCGTGGGAGAGAGCGTGACTCAGGATCACGCGTGTCCCACGCGTGCAAACATATTGGTCCGAGATTGCCTCCTCTTTTGATAGAAAAAAAGAAAACG